TTTATGATGACCTCATAGTACTTTTCACAGTGAACATTACTTTTAATACATAGTTTCAAAAAGTATAGTTTGTTTTAAAAGCGGAACTAAACCCATCAATTTACTGGTTTCAGGAAACTGTTACATTCCCGGCATGCAACGAATGCTAATTGTCACATTTGCTTGTGCTCTCGACCAAACTGTCAAACCATCAACTGGCTGGTGTCATAGCTGATCACATGTGCAGCACCATGGCAGTTGCCGATCAAAGAGCAGCAAAGATGGCGGCTTCCTTTGCTGAAAAGAACAGCAGGGTTTAGTTCCATTTTAAAGGAGAACTAAGCCCTCTTATTCTTTTCAAGCAAGGAAGCTGCCCTCTTAGCCTCTGTTTGTTCTGCAACTGCCATGGTGCCACACATGTGATCAGTTATGACACCAGCCATTTGATGAGATAAGGGGAAGCACGTCCCTGTGACCAAGCCCCAATGGGCAGGGTGAAACATGTCTAGCACGGCGCTGAGGCCACTCCACACATACAACACCCTGGACTCCCGGGGCTGGTCTTAAGTGGAGTCCCCTCCCCCTTATCTCATCCCAGACATTGGAACTGACTAAGGACGCTGCTCCCTTCATTCCCATGCCGCTGGGGTGATCCATTTGCTTATCTGGCTTTGGAGCAGCACCATTAGGCTTTACACCAGCCATTTGATGGTTTGACAGTTTGGTTGGGAGCACAAGCAACTGTGACTGCATTCCGGGAATGTAAATGTGTTTTGAAACTGTTAAATCAATGGGTTTATTTTTGTTTTACGGTAGTCATACACTGTTTGAATTTCACCCTGTTCCTGTTGAACCAGGAGAAATTTGATTTGTGGTGGCACTGTCATTCTCCTCCCATTCAACCGCCTTTCATCAAAAAATTGAAGAGTCAGGCAGAAAATTGTCGAATAAACAGTACCTGCATCCATAGGCCCCATGTACACGGGGCACTTCTGAACGATTGAAACTGACTGCTGGAAGACGTAGGTTAAAAAAAGTCTGTTTAGCCGAGTTTGCATAATGCGTTTATGCGTGTTTGCGTTTAGAAGCATTTTTTAAAGATAAGCACAGGAGAACCTCCCAAATGCCCAGAATGCACTGAAAAGTGGTAAATTATTAACTATTTCATACTGTTTCAAAGAAATACAGAGAGCAGAAGCAGAGACAGCAGTATGTGTTGAGATTAGCTTAGGTGTGAGTTGCTCATTAACATTTATTTTGTTTTCAAAGGTGGGAAAGGTGTCTGGAGTGAGTCATTATGGCCACCTGGCAGGGGGTCTTCATGAGGAATTTGAGGTGTGAATGGTGAATTGTTTCCAAGGGTGGGAGAGGTCTGAGGTGTGAATTGGTCATTACAATGTGTGACAAGAACATCATCTGTTCAGTGTTTTGTCCATTTGAGTAACTTGAAAACACTTTGCATGTGTTTTTCATGATGAAAAAAGGCTCTGGACAGCATCCGGAACTGGAAGAGTTAAAAAAAAAAAAAAAAAAACGCAAAACCTATAAACGCGATTTGCCGCGTTTAGCCGTGTTTACAAGCGTTTTGTGTTTGAAACGCTGATAAAATCGACTGCGCAACACAAGTTTTCTGCGTTAAAAAAAAAAAAAAGACTAAACGCAAACACCTGTAAACGAAGATGTGTACATGGACACATAGGGAAACATTAGGGTGAGTTCAGGGGCTGCTGAAAAAAACACTGAACTGCTCCTAAAGGTGTATTTATCAGCTGCCGTGTACATGAGCCCTTACTGCAAAGTGTAGATTGAGAATATACAGATTTTCTTCTTCTTTTTTTTTTTTCTTTTTTTGCTGAATGAAAAAAAAAGATATCGGTGTATGACAAGGTGTTTTTTGATAACATGGTCAGTTTGAATTTTCCAGGCCTGTGATGGGTTTACTTTTATCACATTCAAGTCAGTCCTATAGAATTTTACCAACAATTTTTCAGACATTTTAATGAAGTTAATATCTTCCCTGGGAACACATACATTGACTTTTCTTTTTTTTGTTAGTACCTTTGCTTACTAGAAAACCCTCTATGTGCCACTTTGATACTAGTTTCATTAGGCCGCCTTCTAATCCAAAATGAAAACACAAGGAAGGTAATAGGTAGATGGAGAGAGCAGAGTGTGCTGGGACTTGAAAGACTTCACTGGTTCTCTTGTTATACTGATATTAACACCAAAACAAAAATGTATTGTATTGCTGCTTACCAATTCTTAGATGTGGCTACATTATCGTAGTTTTTGTATTTTAGATTTTTCCCTTTTTTCACCTGGTGATCTGTCTAGTAAGTCTTAACAGACTGAGCTATCCAGCAAAGTTGGCAGTCAGAGGCTTAAGACAAACAGTCTATCACTGACGGGGTGCTTACAATGATCAGCTCATTCATTCATGTAAAACCTTTATCTGGGGGCAGTACAGTGGCTAAATGGTTAGCACTTCCGCCTGGCAGTACTAGGGTTGTTGGTTTGAATCCCAACCACAGCACCACCTGCCTGGATTTTGCATGTTCTCCCTGTGCCTGCGTGGGTTTCCTCCGGGTACTCTGGTTTCCTCTCACACGCCAAAGACATGCCGGTAGGTTAATTGGATACTGTCTAAATTGGCCCTAGTATGTGTATGTATGAATGTGAGTTAGGGACCTTAGATTGTACCCCTTTGAGGGTTAGGGACTGATGTGAATGTATAATATATGTGTAAAGTGCTGCGTAAATTGCTGGCGCTATATAAGTACCTGAAATAAATCTCAAAAGGGAAAAAACTGTTAGCTGGAGTTCAGCTTTGATTTGTTAGTCAAATCCATATAAAACTGCTGGTCCTTCTAACACTGCCCTCTCGACAGGTTGATAATGCTGCTGTCCAAATGTCTCTGTTGCTTCTGCATCCAGAGTGGAGCCATCCTAAGGCAGCCCATAGATGAGTCCGTTAAACGGGCTGAATGAAAAAAAAAAAAAAAGGCTTGAGGGTGTGGATAGGAGAATTCTCCCTGCTAATTATTTGTATTTTGACAACGGGGATACTTCCCCACTGTCAGAATACACTGATCACTGTCGCAGGCTATTGCCTGCAGTGCTGACTGACCTGCAGAAATTTGACAGGGCAGTTGTACAGAGGTTGGTCAGTAGATTGAACCTTTCTGCCCATAAATAGATTGAAATTCAGCTAGTCTCTGCTGAACCAGCCGAATTTTGATCTATGCATGGCTGGCTTAAGATAGGACCTAACCACCAGGTGAAAATTACATAGAAAAAAAAGAAAATTTGTTGGAAAAAAAAGATAAAACTAATGCAGTCACCTCCTTTTAAGGTGACTTTTCTTTGAGGGTGACTCCTTCAGTATCGGCAGCTACAGATGTCACTGAGAATGTCTATTAAAGCTCATTTACTATTTCCTATAAATATACGTAAATGTTGGCCATAAGTATACTTGAAACCCTGAGCACAAAATATCTACCTTGAGTAAGCACTGCTCTAAGATTCCATTGCCAAGGGTCATATGACCAAATGTTCAGGGTGGTTATTACCAAGTCTGATGATGATGATGTCACAGGGAGTTATAAAGGCTTTTTTTCAGAACAGGAACAAAGCAAAAAACAAAAAAGGTCTGTGACCTGATCTAGAGGGGGAGAAGGTTTGGGGGGAAACCTGGGTGAACATACACTTTATTTCGGCCATCTACTGAGGAATATTGGTGAAACATTTGTTTTCACCTGTTATTTTGTCTTGAAAATGTTGAGTGTTACTAAACCCACAACTGTGAAATCAGTCTGTATATGCAGGAAAGTATGCTTGTTCTACTCACTGTGGAACCTAAGGGTTAATTCTCTGCATTGTGTAAAAACGCTGCTTGATCCTGACTTCTCTGATCCTCCCCTTCTTCCAGTGCCCCCCTTTTATCTCCTGATAAGACATATGTGGAGACACTCTGCACATGCTCAGTTTGGTGTGTATTGCTAAAGAGGCTTTTTATTTCTTGGGAGAGTGTACGTGATCAGCACAGGGCCAATCAACAGTGTCCAGACAGAGATCAGGGGTCTTGCATCCTCCTAGAGCAAAATGAAAACTCCCCCTTACATGCTTTAACCAGTGCTCAACTGGACACTAATAGAAGTCACAAGATTGCTCTGTTGATAAGAAAAGGTATTTAGCAGTTTATATTTACTAAAATAATTGCATTTCCATGTTCTGTGTACTGTGAGAGACCAGATATAGTGAATTCAGGGTCCTGGGTTTAGTAACACTTTAAAGGAAAAGTTCACCTTTCGTAACATGTTACATATTCAAGGTGTAACATGTTATGATCGGACCGGCCCCCGCACCCCCCGATTCCCTTTGTGACAGGGGGGGATCTGCTCCTTCCTGCTAGCTGTCACAATTTAAAAAAACAAAAAACAAAAAAAACATGACTGTGTGGGGCTCCGCCTGCATGGCCGCATCAGTCATTAACCGTATTCTCTGAATGAGAAAACTACAAGATCTTACAGCTTTTGTGGCTGTCGGCTTGTAGTTTTCATTGAACTACCAGCGCTCCACTGCACCATGGTAGTTTATTGAGCCTTCTTGTCAGTATATCTGCTTGCTTGTACAGGATATACAAGCAATCAGATATACTGACAGGTCAGGGGGAGACCTGCATGGCACTAGTGAACTGCTGATCGCTGGTTGCATTGCTTTAGAGACTCCAGAAACAAAAAGAAATAAATGCACATTTTTTTTTACCTTCAAAAAAATGTGCATGTTATTATTTTTTGTTAAGAGGTGAACCTATTCTTTAATACCGACAAGCCTATAACTATGCTGCCTGTGCAGCTCAAGCACAGTCTCCTGTTCACTGCAACAAAAATAACTGATTAGTTTTCTGCTAAAATATTAATGGAGGTTGAGCTGAGCGTTTAACTGGTAACCATAGAGACTTTTCTTACCATAACACTTCTACTCCTCGCCTTTTTTTTTTTTTTTTTTTTTTTTTTTTATAGGCAGCTGCAGGAGCAGCAGCGGCAGAAGGAGCTTGAACGTGAGCGTCAGGAACGTGAACGTATGGAACGAGAGCGCCTGGACCGCGAGAGGCTGGAGAGGGAAAGGCTGGAGCGAGAGCGGCTTGACAGGGAGCGGCTGGAGCGTGAACGGCTTGAGCACGAGCGCTTAGAACAGGAGCAACTGGAGCGGGAGAAAGAGAGCACGAGAGACAGGAGAGGGAGCGCCAGGAGCAGCTGGAGCGAGAGCTGCAAGAACAAGAGAGGCTGGAGCAAGAGAGGCAAGAGAGAGAGCTGCAGGAACAGCTGGAGAAGGAGCAGCTGCAATGGGAACGTGAGAGGAGGGTTTCCAATGCTGGTAAGAGACCGTCTGTCTGCACACATCTAGACATGCACAAGAGATACACCCATTGCCACCACTCATAACATCTTGAACATCAGACTTGTACACAGATTATTACTTATTAGAGGTGGAGCTCAACGAATGCAGCAATGGCAAATCGAGATTCTAAATGGCCTCGGACAGCCAGGGTCCATCTAAAATTGACATTTCAAGTATTAGTAGACTGGACAATTCAGTTCTCTAGTGGTTTCTTATATCTCGCAAGACCTCTGGTGGTGAAATATGCTCTTGATGGGTTTTCCCTTGTGGCATCCTCTTTTATATAATGTTCACAGTCACACTAACAAAGTGGCCTATTCAGCAGGATACAGCCCACACGTCCCCTCTACAGAATAGGCCTTTTCTGACTGACAGGTCCTAACTAGAACAGTGTGCAGATGGATACCTGTGGTGGATTTATGTAAAGAAGTTGACAGCTCTCCTCCTTTTCTAAAAAGGTATAAATTGTATTGGGTGAATTTGGAATAAATCCGTATAGTAGAAGTCTGTTTTGGTCACATACACACCAGTGTCAAAATGTAAGCTCCACAAAGCAAGTCCCTACAAACATTAGGTGGCCAAATTACCAGATCCTGCAGTGCAGCATAGTTTCTAGTGACACTATTGCTGACCTAATGAGTGGAGTCACTTGTAGTATGTCTAGATCCAACAACGAAAATTGAATTTATTGCAGCCTACCCATTTTTTAGGTGTAGTGGCTGCATTCATTTTCTTTTTACAGGCAAAATAATTTTCAGCAGGCACAGAAAATACCTGTTGGCCTTGCCAGAAATCTAGTGCCCTCGAAACCTCTTGGTAACTGTGGTTAAGCCTCAAATGATAATGTTCCAGTTATCTTTTGTGAACTACAATATATGTCCACCCTACGTAGTAGAGAGGAAAGGTATTCTGTGGTCATAGCATGCTTATGGGCTCCTAGAGTGACAATGATTCTCCATAAAGTACAGTGAGTGACCACTGCCACCACAGGTCAGAAAGTGTTACTAGCAGGAACACCAGAAAGAAAAAAATAAATATATAACCCCGAAAAAAAGAAAACTAATGCAGCCACCTCATTCAAGGGCTAGTAATCTTGCAAGATCCTATTCTGCAGAGAGATTTGAAATTCAGGGAGCTCTAATATGCAAATAGTAAATGAATTAGTTATGCTTGGCCCCACCCCCTCATAAGACTAATTATCGGTCAGTGAGGCTGTCTGTCATGATGGTCTAGAAATTGTAACCATCAGTCATGCTACTCACAAGCACTATAGGCAACATAAAATATGGTGCAATCTGTCAGTAGCATTATCACAGCAGTTTTTTTTCAGATTCTCTCTGTAACAAAGTTTTTTTTTTTTTTTTTTTTTTTTTTTTTTTAAATATTATCCACGAGTAGATCCGATTTTTGATATTGCCCACAGTAACATTTTAGAAGGGGAAGTTGCTGAGACTTAACCACCACTACAGGTGTGTGACTATAATTTTTCGGTGCAATCACAGCACAAATTTTACGGGAGACAGCCTGCTGGATTATTTACTCCTTAGTGGTACTTGATTAATGGATGGTGCCTTGATGTAGATGATGGGGGTATACAGCTGGCTCTGCAATTTCCATTAAATTTTATTTTTTGTTATAGCACAGACTCCATGGGTTTGCTGCACATATGGACATAGGCAGAATGACAAGTTTACATTTTTTGGTTTTCTGTAGACCTTCATGGACTGTCATAGAAATTCCTTTCCTTTACATGACTCCATCACTTATTAGAAGATGTGTTGTATGTTAGAGATGTACTGGGGATGCCACAATTACAAAACCTACCAAGCTTAACAGTGCTTTCCGTCATCCAAACCCAAGGCCAGGGCAGCACACACTGCATCTTTCAGGGTGTTGAGATTCCAAGGGCTGCAGTTTTCTACATTTCTGCTCATAAGTTTAAATAGCCCTAACAGAGTTTGTAAGATGTGAACCATTTTTAAAGAAACTTTAGCTATCAGGCCAAACTTTTTTTTTTTTTTACTTTTTAATGTGATTCAAACTGAACTATTGGGCATGTCAGAATAGCATGATCATTAAAACAACCCCGTATCAATAGAAAAATATAATTGTCTTTTTCAAACATTTGCATACCCTTAGTTCTTAATTTTTCTATACCTCAATTTTTTTGTTAATAGGATAGCGTGGAGAAGGATTAGAGCTGTTAGGGACTTCGTTAGGCTCCATTGACATCTGCGTGTTCAGAGACTGCGCATTTCTGTGTGTCACACTTACAGGAAGGAGACACTCATTTTGTCATAAGTACATAAGAGTGCAGCGCTTAAAGTGACAGATGAGCATAAAAAAAAAACAGTAAAAATGTCACAAAATAGTCCATCCAAACATAAAAGTCCCAGAGGCTGTGATGAAACAAAAGAAATTCAAGGACAGTTGTCACCAACCACTACTACAAAAGGTTTACCAGAAATGCATGACCTACTGTTAAGAGTGGTCAATTGCGCTTTGTTAAACAACCCAGAAAGCCCTACACTGGAATCCTCCTCCAGATCTCCAAAAGAACAGATAAGGATCTTCCAAACAATTGACCTTAATTAGGGTAGCTAAACCACTCAGGATAAGGCTTTGACAGTGGAAAACCTGCAAAGAAAGAGCCTCCACATAGAGTGTAAAACCATAATCACAACATTAATTTAAACTATGGTTGCACTCGCATGTAAGTAAACATCATTAGGCATTGATTGGCAAAAAAAAAAATCAAAATTTTCCAGTTTCCAAAAGGCCACTAACATTTTGTCATGCAGAAAAAGCGCAACAAATATGAAACGGGTAAACTAGAACACTGCAAAAAAGAGCTATGAGCTACTTTGCCGTATTTGTTCCACTTAGGGCAGCCCATTGAAATCAGTGCACAGAAGGACCTACTTTTCAAAAAAGGAAGGTGTGATCATGGCCTTAGAGATTTTCTATTGTCCTGAGGACATCTTTTTTGTCTTGGACAGAAAGTGAGGAAAACAGCAACACAGACAAAAGGAGTCTTTTAAGGAGTAGAATGTTATCCAAAAGAAAAACAATGTTTTGGCTATAGTTAGATTTTATTATTATTGTGTGTTGCCCCCTTCGCATCAGTGACGGTCTGCAGTCTTTTGTGATGGTTGCAGATGCGTTACTTTGTTTTCATGAGGTAAAGCTGCCATTGGGTAAAAGTATTGGGCCTTGGGTAAAAGCCTTCCGGTACTGTAAATTCTTTGGTAATCTGGTGTGAACTGCATGTTTGAGATCTCCCCAAAGTGACTCCCCCAAAAGAGCAGCTCTATGCTTCACAGCAGGGATGGTGTGGTTTTCTTCATAGGCCTTGTTGACTCCTTTTCAATCATAGCATTTATGGTTGTGACTTAAAACTTTTGGAACAAAAATCATTTGGAATGATAAAGCCAAAATTGGTCTTTAAGTCTTTTCTAAGTGCTTCTTAGCATATTGTAGGCAGGTTGGTGCAATAAAAACGGCTACCATTTTTCAAATTCTGCCAGGCATATGTAAACTTATGAGCACAGATCTTTATTAGAAGCTCTGAGTCAGAGTATTGAAGAAAGAACCAATATGCAATCAAGGGATTTGAATAGCCCCTTTACTGTGGTCTGTATATTGATGATCATTTCAGTATGAGTGTTCTCCATTTGTACTGTTGAATTGTGGCGGGTTGGTGGTAAACTCTTTCAAAGCAATAACCTCTTCTTTATCTAATCTTATACTAACCATAGTTCTCATTTAATCTTTTCCTTTGAATGCTGGTTTGGTTGCTTCATTAGCTCCTTTTTTCTCTTTTTTTTGTTTTTGTTTTCTTCTATATTTGTCTTGTCTGTTGCTGCTATGTGCACCAAATCCACACCAGAATCATCTTTTGACAACTCGTATAACACCGCACATCTTGATTACTCTAGCTCTCAGTCTCATTCCGCTTCCCCCATCTCTTATGCTAAAGCCATCTCTGTCCCAGTGTCATCTATATGCACAGACTCCATCGCTGACTATGTCATTGTCACTTCTCAGTCCATCAGCTCTACACCACCCACCCCTCCCCTGCGCCATTCTGCCTCACGATTTGCCACATCGCTGGGCTCTGCCTTCCATCCTGTCCTTCCACATTATGCCACTGTTCCTAGGCCTATAAATAAAGTTTCACGGCCGCCATCCCCTGTGAACCAAGCACCTCCTCCACCACCCCCGCCTCCTCCCCCAGTGAAGCCCATAACGTGGTCTGCTTCTAACTTTGCTCCACTTCCTCCATCTCCGCCAGTTATGATCAGCAGTCCGCCTGGCAAGGCCACAGGCCCTAGGGCTGTACATCTAGTATCTGCAGCTCAGTTGGCGCTCCTGTCCTCCACACCGAATGGGCACGCGGATGCTCCTTCCTATGACGCGTCATGTACTCCTGCCCCTCCACCACCACCACCCCCACCACCTCCATCATTTGCTCCATTCTCACTGTCCTCATCTCAAGCTGTCACTTGTTCTCCGAGCGCTTCTGTTGTCTCAGCATGCCAGCCAAGTGTTCTCCCTTCTCCCTCTGCAGCTTCCCCCGCCTCTGTCGAGAACTCTTTACTCTCTGTGCTGGGAGACACCTGTGCTTCTCAGCCAGATTTGACCACCTCCTCTCAACCGACTGACCCTGCGGCCCATCCGGGTAAGGCTTATTGTCACTGCCATTAACTGACTAACCTGAACATGCCATCCTTAAACATGTGTTATGAAAGGGTTGGTCTGACCATAACCTGGATGTGTAGTCCTTCAGTACAGACAGGAACATTTTGCCGTTTTTGTTGTTTTTATATTGTGTTTTTATTTCCTTGATGTGATCTACAGCAGTGATGTGCAACTTTTGTTTTAAAGTGATAGCCCAAAATGTTGGTGTTTTTTTTCTTTTTGGCCTGCCATATTTTTTGGTCTTCACTTTAAAACCTAAAGGAATAAATTATCTTAAAATCAGCTGAGCTCAAAAATAAGCTTTTGAAACTTTTAAGGCCCTGCCCTCTGAATGTGCCCACATTTTCAAAATGTAACCATGTAGATTTGCCTTGGTCCCTCTTAAAACACAAACCTGGTTTTAAAAATTGCCCTCGGAGCTTTATGCCATAATATACTGGCATGCACAGCATATTAGCACACATGACAAACATCCCCTCCAGCCCTGCGGTGTCAGTGCTCTCAGCTCCATCTTCTCCTGGTCTTCCCTTCAAATTCAGACTTTTCGGATGTAGTGATATAACTCCCATGCATGCGCATGTGAGTTGCATCATCACAACACAGAGTGGTGCTGTAACTGTAAGCAGAGCTTTGCATGTGCGTCCCTCCAAGAAGGTCACTTCTGTTATCCAAATCCTACCTGTCAGGTATTTTGATTTTTTTTTTGGAGCAGCATAGTTTAATTGTACTTTAATAATTAAGTCTAGAATATTGCACTTGGGTATCTAAAACAGATATTCACCGATCAAAAAATAGGTATGCGTTGGCCATAGAGCAGTGGTTGACATTGTGTATGTCCCAGATGGTGGTATACTTAGATTTTGCTGCCACAGTGATAGTTGAGTGGTCCTGAATATGGTGTATTAACCCTTGTATGGTCCAACATACTTGGTTCTTTTGGTACCAGCTTAAACAACATTGCTCATCAAAGTTTTAGGCCACAAAAACATAATTAATGAATATGGTTTACAAAGTTCTTTATTTTTCTCCATCACATAATCAGACTTGCCAAAAAGTTGTATTTGGCTTTTAAAGTGGAACTTAACCCTCCTATGGACCAAAGACGGTGCCATATTAGCCTCTATTTAGATCTGCAATTGCAGTTGTTGTAGAACATGTGATGAGCTCATGTAAGCACACTGGCAACTGTGACAGTTCTCATCAGAGGCATGCCTTGTACTGTATGTAGTATGCTGTAGTGTTCGAACACTGCAAAAAAAAACTACACTGGTATGTTTAAGTATTTAAATCCATTTTTCTAATATTGATAACTTGAGCTTTCTTTTGGGAAACCGTTAAATAATTGGGTTTAGTTACTTATGTAACTTTTAGTTGGACGTAATTTATCAGCTAAAGCCAGTGGACATCAGCTGTGGTTGTTGCTTTCTAAAATACTTCTAAGCATTGATATGATGTTGTATGCAGTATGGAATAACTGTCCTTTCCTTTCCCAAACATTTCAGGGGTGACCAGATCTCTTCAGGGGTGCTCTGCTCTAAGCAATTATTTTATTTAGTACTGGTGTGTTAGTGTACCTAAATGCAAGCACAAAAATGTATATATGAAGCATTCCAGTCCTTACATGTGGTCCCCGCATTAGTTTTTATTGTTTTCTAATACAGTCATTACATTTAAGGGCTTTTAATCAGCAGTATATTTTATTTTTCAGGGCTTTGATACACTTTAAGCTATCTATACTGTAGATAGAAGGGGTGGTCACTGGTGCAGAAGCATGTCTGCTCATATAACTTGAGTCAGCATTATAATTCAGTGAATAGCATTTGCAGACACCCACAGCACCAGGATTATCTTCAGGAAAGGAATGAGGGGTGTAGTGCTGACTGGCTGTAGAACAGTCAGCTGGGGCTTGTGTTGGTACCTATAAGTTGGGGTTTTGTTTTTTTTTTGTTTTTTAATTATACAATTAGGTCCATATATATTTGGACATAGGCACAAATTTAGTTTTTGTTCAGGTATTTACCAAAACATATTCAATCTATAGTTATATAATGGATATGGGTTGAAATTGCACACTCTCAGGTTTCATTTGAGGGTATGTACATCCAAATTGAAGGAAGGGTTTAGGAATTACAGCTAAGAGTAGCCATCCTCCCTTTTTCAAGGGACCAAAAGTAATTGGACAAACAAACGCTCTTTCATGGCCAGGTGTGGGCTACTCCTTGTTATTTCTTCATCAATTAAGCAAATAAAATGTTTGGAGTTGATTCTAAGTGTGGTATTTGCATTTGGAATCTATTGCTGTGAAACTACATCATGCGCTCAAAGGAGCTGTCCATGCAAGTGCAACAGGCCATTGTAAGGCTTCAAAAATGAAACAAATGCATCAGAGAGATAGCAGCAACATTAGGAGTGATCAAATCAACAGTTTGGTACATTCTGAGGAAAGAAGAACACACTGATGAGCTCTGCAACATAAAAAGGCATGGACGTCCCCGGAAGACAACAGTGGTGAATGATCGCAGAATCCTCTTCACAACATCTGGACAAGTGAAGGACACTCTCCAGGAGGTGGGTGTATCATTGTCAAAGTCTACAATCAAGAGAAGACTTTACGAGAGCAAATACAGAGGGTTCACCACATGGTGCAAACCATTCATAAGCCTGAAGAATAGAAAAGCAGGATTAGACTTTACCATCCAAATGTCTTAAAAAAAAAAAAAAAGCCAGACCAGTGCTGGAAAAGCATTCTTTGGACGGATGAAACGAAGATTAATCTGTACCAGAATGATGGAAAGAAAAAAGTGTGGAGAAGGCTTGGAACAGCTCATGATCCAATGCACACAATGTCTTCTGTAAACATGGTGGAGGCAGTGTGATGGCATGGGCATGCATGGCTTCCAGTGGCGCTGGGTCACTGGTGTTTATTGATGATGTGACAGAAGACAGAAGCAGCCGGATGAATTCTGCTGTGTTTAGAGATATACTGTCAGCCCAGATTCAGCCAAATGCAGCAAAGTTGATTGGACGGTTCTTCACAGTACAGATGGACAATGATCCAAAACACACTGCAAAAGCAACCCAGGAGCTTTTGAAGGAAAAGAAGTGGAATATTCTGCAATGGCCGAGTCAATCACCTGATTTCAACCCAATTGAGCATGCATTTCACTTGCTGAAGGCAAAACTAAAGGCAGAAAGACGAAAAAAAAAACTGAAGACAGCTCAGTTTGGGCCTGGCAAAGCATCAGAAAGGAGGAGACCCAGTCTTTGGTCATGTCCATGGGTTCCAGACTTCAGGCAGTCATTGCCAGTAAAGGATTCTCAACAAAATATTCAAAATGAATATTTTATTTATGATTATATTCATTTGTCCAATTACATTTGAGCCCCTGAAAATGGAGGGACTGTGTATAAAAATGGTTGCAGTTCCTAAAATTTGTACTTGATATTTATGTTCAAGCCCTTGAATTAAAGCTGGAAGTCTGCACTTCAAATTCATTTGGATTGTTTCGTTTCAATTTATTCTGGAGGCATACAGAGCCAAAAGTATGAACCTTGTGCCTGTGTACAAATATATATGGACCTAAATGTATTTGTCTAGATCTGATGCTGTATTTGTCCCCTGTCAGCTCTAAGGCTGAGAAGTGAACGATCAAACACAGCTGATCACGCAGTTCTCCCTGCTGATCTGAGCAGAGAGCGGTGACTGTCAGTTACCGTTGTCTGCTTTGCCCCTTCAGTGCTCACTGGAGCACTAGGCTGTAGAGGGAAGGGAGCAGCTGGCTCAGTCTCCCAGCGGTGCAGCTGAGAGGCTGAGCCAGGTGCCACCCAAGGCTTCTGGATGGATCGTGACTATATGGTTACGATCTTTCACCAGCTTGTACTGGCTATGTGATGGCAGCTGAGAGCGGACCTTAGAAGGAAGTGCACTCCGGTGATCCACAGGAGAAGTACACCCAAATGAGCTTTGGCTGTACTTCTTTAATTCTGTGGGCATCTTATCAAAACATGTCATATCCTGACAACATTTTGTTGTAGCAAATTGACTAACAGGACTTCAAAAAGATTACCGTAGTTTGCTGCATCAAACTTCTGGTGTTTTCTGTCTTTCTCCCAGTTTCCACCACCCCTTGGGTGAGCGGCCTGTTAAGGTTCCCTGTGCCATTAAATTTAAATTGTTGCCATGTTTGCATTTATTATACTACTGCTTTCCCTTTTCTAAATTTTACTAACTTCTGTGTTTTTTTGTTTTGCTTTGTAAGATTTTTGTTTTTCTTTTGCTTAATATAAGAATAATGAAAACCTGTGAGTTGGTGACTTAATTATTGATTATTTCTCACGCTTTCTCCTTTTTGTAGGTGTTGTACCAGGACCGCCAGCGCCTCCACCCCCACCCCCCCTTTGCCAACTGGTTCGAATTTGTCTCAAGTGGGCATGCCCCCGCCTCCCCCAGCCCCACCACTTCCGCCTTCAGCTCCTGCCCCACCTCCTCCCCCTGGTCTCCCTCCTCCACCCGGTCCTCTACCCCCTGCACCTATGTCAACTCCTCCTCCACCAGCTCCCCCACCACCTCCTGCACCTCCACTTCCTTTTTCCACGGCTTCCATGACCTCAGAAGACAACCGTCCGCTATCTGGTCTTGCTGCTGCTTTAGCTGGAGCCAAGCTTCGAAAAGTGTCTCGGGTAACTAAATTTTAATTGGTTTTAATGTCTTTTACACATTTGGAAGGATTTCCTCCTACAGGCATATTAAATGGACTTTAATTTACTATTTGTTATTTTTACAGCTTCTTTTTGTAAGAGCTGGTCACAGGTAGTACTTTAGCTTTTTAAAACTTTCATCTGATCATGCAAAACATGTGCTGCTGCAACCACTTGGTGTTCACCTTTACAGAAAATCTGTAAAGTGACCTAATGTTGGGCCCCTCCCTACCCTCCCCCTGGTCCTGCTGTACTAAAGTCCCGCGATGCTCTGCTATAAGCATCGTCATGCCGCTTTACCGTTCCTGGGATTTGAAATCTCCATGGCTTTCTCTCCTCTGCTTGCAGTGCTGACAGGACAGGCTAGACTGGTTCTGATTGATCAGCGCCATTCATGTGATAGTGGTGACCAATTAGAATACCTCTGGTCCATACTGGCAAAGCAGTTCACAGAAGAGATTGAGTGGGTATTTCAAATCCCTGGACCAGTGAAGCGGCATAGCAGTGTCTTGACAGCAGAGGGTCGTGCGACTCCAGTACAGCGGGAACGGGGTGGATGGGGAAGGGGGTCCAGTGTTAGGCCACCAACTGATTTTCTGTAAAGGTGAACTTACACTTTAAGCAGGCCTGGCAGAATCTGTCCTAATCCAACACTGCATTTATTGTGATGATAGGCCTTTTAAGCTGACCAAGGAGACTTTTCAGCTACATAAGGACTTTTTTCCACTACAGCCTTTCCTGGCAATTTTTGGGCAGTTGGCAGTTGGTTCTGACTCCTGCCCAGCACCCTACGTTTATCGAGTCTGTAAGTGTGTGAGGCAAAAAAGCTGAGTGTTTTCTGTAGCTTCTCACCTACCAGAAAAACCTTCTGAGGATGTTCTTTTGCATCCAACACATTGTGAAAAAGGGTTCATGCTAAATTGAAGAATTGAAGGGGTAGGACACTTTTTTTTTTTTTTTTTTTTTTTTTTTGGTGTTTTTTTAGATTTGTTTAGCTTGCTAAGGCACAACGTTAAAATCCTCATAATTCAGACTAAGCATATGATAAAAATGTATGAGCAGAGTACCCTCTGTAAAAACCTCAGTTCCAGAATTGTATATGCCAACCTGGACTCTTCTGTAAAAGCCAAGCTTGGGCTGACTTTTTCCCCTCTCAAGCCTCTTTATTGGTCCTTTTACATAATGGTGACCTGACTGACCAGTAGAAAACCTCAAGATGCAAGAAGTTGCAGGGGCAAATATCAATGTCTATAGGAATTTCAGCTGCACCTGTTTGTTTTTTTTTTTTGAGTGTAATTGAATATATATGTTCTTATATGTTTGCTTTGAATGGCCCAAATTTGACATGTTTACTTTTAGCCCTTCATGTATGCTTTTTAAGCTGAACCTTGGGCAGACACCCACAGGTGGAATACATATGAGTACGGTTGTACATGCTAAAGGATTTCAATTTCTGTGTGACCAGCACTAAAAATCTACACAGCTCTGCATACAGCACAGCCCTGTCTGGCAGGACAGGAGGCCTGATTATCCTCTGCTGCCATTCAGTAAAGCTGGCTATACATGGATCGAAATGCAGCCAGTTCACCAGAGATCTATCGATTTGACATCTGTTCAACCACCCTGTCAGTATATCTCTGCTCTATCAGTACCGCAGGCAATAGGCTGCCGCGCTGGTGTGTGTATTCTGACGATGGGGAATTTCCCCGCTGTCAGAATACAATGACACAATGGGGAGGATTTCTGTATCCACATTGAATGTGTGGGTGGGCGAACTGGATCAATTTTCTGTTCATCCCACTGGTTGAACAGAAGAAAACTGACCCATGTATGGTCAGCTTAAAACTTAAAGCGGAGTTCCACCCAAAAGGGGAAGTCCCGCTTTAATTCTTTGTCCCCCATTCCCCATTAAGAATTGGCACCTTTGGGAAGCGGGTACCCAAATTTGACAAGTACCTGCTCCCACTTCCGCTGCAATCGCCTAAGAGGTTAGCTTAAGTGGAAGTTGTCGTTCCCCCTCCCCCTCCCTCTCTGTAGTTTTCTGGTCCCAGAAGACTACGGGACCATTCACAAAGTGCAGCATTTCTCGCGCATGTGCAGTGAGCACCCAGCTGTAAAGCTGCAAGCTGTCACAGCCGGGTGCCCAAACTGAAGATGCCGGCACCAGGGAGAGAAGATAGTTGGTGAATTCAGCCGTGGTGAGGACACCGCTGGACCGAGGGACAGGTAAGTGGCTGCATTTTAAAAGTCCGCAGCTACAGTTTTTGAACCTGCTGACTTTATTTTTTTTTTTATTTTTTTCAGCTGGAACTCCGCTTTAAGCCTGGTACACACGTTCAGTCTGTTTTGTTCAGCCCAACAGGCTGAACAAAAAAGAAAAATTGAGAGATCACTGTACCAACAAAATGATGTTGGTAGAGTGATCCCTCCCGCGCCTTTGTGTTCTGAAAGGGGGTCATTGGCTGCGAGCGCTAATCAAATGCTTATTTACCCGCATGTCCTTTTTACAAAGCTGGTCTTTAGACTGGCTTCTGTCAGGACAGCTGTACACACAGTCCAAATGTCAACTGCTTCCTGCTGAACCAGCTGATATTTGGACCGCATGTACCCAGCTTTATGGATCTTGTCCCTCTCGCAACCTGTGACCAGAAAAGGGAAAGAGAATCAGCAGACTGATGAGCTTATCACTTTTGTCTTCTTAGCAACATCTTCTTGGCACAGCAGTACAACTAATTGGCTCTGTGCTGCTTCTCCTTCTCCCAGTTTGAACTCTGCTGTTCAGGGACTGCAGTAGGCTGATACCAAGTCAAGTTCTTGTACTTACACAATGTTTTAATGAATATGGAGCTGCATTAATTTGTGTCAATCACATCAGCCTGGAGTTCAAGGACCTACATGAATCTGGTGTGTGTTACCATGCCACTGCTACATGGAAGAGCTGCATTTGCCACAGGCTAAGGGGAGAGTTAGCTATGGCATTAGTGTTCTGAAAAACTTTGTATCCCTTTGTCTCTCCCCTGCTCTGTCTGCTGCTCCATCATGCTTAGTGTCACAACTGTGCCTGTCCTATCTGGACAACTCAAGAGCAAGTTAATCCAAACTAGGATCCAGAATGCTATCCTTCAAGCCTGAGAACAAGTTGTTTAACACCATTTTCTTTAGTCATATGGAATTTTGTTGTCATTCAAAAAAAAAAAAAAAAAAATGAACTGCTAGGAAATGTTGCAAGCAGCTAAAAAGTTTGTAGCATTTAATATTGTCTGATCTTCATTTCATAGACTGAAGATGCCTCCGGTCAGGCGAGTGCAAGTTCGGCTGGAACCAGCTCGGGACCCTCTAAGGCTGAATCGAGTCGTGGAAATGGCCCTCTGCCGATGGGTGGCGGTGGACTAATGGAGGAAATGAGTGCACTACTAGCCAGGAGGTGAGCCAAAGGAGAAAGTCTAACACTATTTTCCCTAAGCGTTTGATTTCTGAGGTCAGTTTAGGCCTCTTTCACTTGGGGCAGACTCCGTTTCGACCAGCAGAGGATCAGCTCACGGATCCCCTGCTGATCAGAGCAGAACGGGTTGATGACACATCTATGTCTGCTAAGTTTCTGCAGAGTGGACACAGATTAGGAGTAAACGGACTCCACTGTCCATTTACACCAGACTACCCTCCAATCAGCTCCTCCTGAACAGAAGAGGGTAGATCCCCTTCAATTTTTTTTTTTCCTAAATTGGACCTGGAGGTAGGTGTGTGTAAAAGGACAAAAGTCTGTTTACACCTGCCTTTCCATGTGGATGAATGGACTTTCCAACCAGGTCCACCCGAAAAACTGACAGGTGGATTTGATCCAATCTCCCATGTGAAAGCTGCCTTACTGTACTATTCTCATAATTTTAAAGGCCATCCTTCTTTGCTTGTTGATTCTGACTTTTAGATCAAACATTAAAGTGACTTTGTTGCTAGTTAAAAAGTGCTGCCTGTAGACAGAAATGTTCATTCGTATCTGTCCCACCACCAGTGCAGTCTACCTTCACTCTGTGCAGAACTATACTGGCTGAAACATTTTCTACTTTGGTCACTGCTGGGAGTGGTGATAGCCCCAACCTCCTCTGCATGCTGTGTTTCTATCCACCAGCACCTACATAACTATAGCACACAGTGGGGACTTAGGTGCCGGAGGATCAAGCCACAGCACTCGGTATTGAACCAGGCATCCTGTAAACCTTGAAGTGTGCTGGATTGAGAATTTTTAGCCAGTGTAGCTCTTCTCTCCTGTACTGAAATATATACTCTGACCGTATTATGATGTATTAGATGTTGCAGGACGTCAGAGCTCGCCTTAATTCCTGCAGGACGCTTCACTGTCCCTGGCCTGCCTCTTCCATTGATTATTTTCATTTCTTTAAATGAATGGGGCTCAACATCATGTGTGAAAGTTGCTTAAGGCAATCTGCATGTAAATGCAGACTGCCTAGGTATTTCCACACCTCCAGACTTGCACCACCCATTAAAAGATTGGGATATAATCATAATTCCTCCCAAAAGCTAGCCCACTGCTTCCATCAGGACTGGGGGCTCTTGAGAAGAGTACCAGGGTGCAGTTGCTGTTATGTTTTCTGAAATATATGTACAGCATCCTGCTGACTTCTCCCCCCAGCCATGATCTGCCTGTATTACATAGAGAAGCACATAGACGCATCGATGTCACTGGGCCTAAAATAAAGTATGTAATGAAAATGGAAAAGTTTCTTTTAAAAGTTTCGTTAGAGAGTTGGTGAGAAAGAGATGGGACGGTTGGTAATCATGATGGGCAAAATACAAGCTAGTTAACATTTTGCTTTGACGAAATATTGTCTATAGAATAAATACTATAATCTGGTGTCTGAATGTTTTTGGAATAACCACAAGATGCTGATACATACCACAGAGTTATTCGTATTCCTCCTTTATGCACCTTGGGGAACTTCACACCCACGTTGCTGTAAACGGAAACGTATTCATGCAGCCCCACTCCCAATAATCCAAAGCTACTTAGTATTTCCCTAAAGCATCTGCATTGGAAATGGGTGCTGCCTTAGGTCTGACAGAGCAAATTTGATCATTTGCATATCACCTATACTGCAGAAATAATTCATCCTAATTAAGTGTGACTTTTCATCCATTCCTTGTACAGGAGACGGATTGCAGAGAAAGTACCAGCAGACTCTGACTCGAAAGAAGACAAAACGGTAAGCGTGAGACTACATCTGCATAATACGTGGTTGGTGACAGTGGGGAGAACCAGGGGCGGACTGACAACTCATGGGGCCCCTGGGCAATAGGGGATCATGGGGCCCCTGTGTCCTTGCCCAAACTCAAAAAAGCCTATGAAAAAGGTACCAGGGGCATCTCTTTGGGCCCTCTTTTGACCCCGGACCCTCGGGCAGTGTCCGAGTTTCCAAATGGTCAGTCCGCCCCTGGGGAGCACTATTATCCAGTCACTGGAGTAATAAAACCGTGGGGGGGGGGGGGGGGGGAATGGGCCATGGAGGCGGGCTGTCTTTTCAGAGTCATCACCAGGGCCTTGGTGCAGATTTTAAACTGGGGACTGCTTCATAGCTCAGCTGTGGTGTTCCCCCCCCCCCCCCCCTCCTTGAATTGCTGTATAGCTTAACAAATATTCACCTTTTCAGTCTATAAACATCTAAAACAGCTTTAAAAGCGGATGACACAAACACTTGAATACTTGTTGCTATGTTCCTTAGATGAGTTCATAGCTAATAGATGAAAAGTTGCAGCCTCGTGGCATAGCGAGCAGTTATTCCCTAGCCACTTCTATACAGTATGTGTATGTATGCCTTCGATTGCATTTTCTGTTATCTTTGTATCTTGTAGGAGGAAGCTGAGATCGTACCTACAAAAGCGTCCTCTGCTGGCACACCTGGTAAGAATTCTGTGCTATATGTGACATGACACAGTGGGACAGTGTTTCTCAATCTTTTTCTAGTCAAGGCACCCTTAAAATTATGAACGATTTTGAGGCACCCGATTCTAAAATGTATAAAATGAAACTTCTAGCTTTACAAATGGCAGCAGCATACACACATGTACGACACCCAACATTAGAGGTGGTTTATTCTTTCAAAGCAAATACACTTTTTTTCACATCAGTACGGACAAGTCTTTCAGCATTCCTTTTTATACATTTTCCCTCCCCCAGCTAACCAAGTGCTGATAGAGGGGGGCGTGGGGGTCAACAAGGATGCTGTGCAGGTGCCTGATGTCCTTATCAACTAATGATGCCAGTGGTTGTTGGGACACTGGCAGCTGGCTGTGTTAACGTTGCACAGTGAAAACCTTGAGGCTTTGTGTAACAAAACAGCAATTTTGATCCACCTGCTGGCTTGTACACAATTTGTGGGCAATTTGAGCAATTTTAAGGCATTTTGCCAAGGCACTCTTGAAGAACACAGTGGGCACCCTCACAGGAAAAGGCTGCAGTAGGAAATGGTTATCATGCAAATTAGTGACACAATTAGATGCAGACCAATTTTGCAAAGTTTGTGTAGTATGGTTTTTTTAATCGTGTTAATTGCAGTGAACTATACACACATCCCACAGTGGATTGCTGATACATTGTTAAGCAGGACAAAATTGTAATTGCTTTGTTTTTTTTTTTTTTTTTATCTATATTTCCCATAGAACCAACAAGAAAACCTTGGGAAAGAACAAACACGATAAATGGTAGCAAATCTCCTATTATCTCCAGGTAAATTAGTCTGTATTTTGTCTGTAACTTGCTTTTGTTGCAAATTTGTGATTGGCTGGTGATATTTTCTTAGTCATCGATCTTCATTGGGATTGTGCAATCAGGGTCATTGCAGCAGGGAAGTGACCACAGGTCTGAGCATTTCCATCCATGGCTGGAGAGCTGAGCGTGCCGCATAACAACTGTTTTCTCTTGTTTCAGACCAAAGTCTACACCAACGGGGCAGCCAAGTGCCAATGGGGTACAGTCAGAATCATTGGACTATGACAGATTGAAACAGGTACTGCAATGACCAGTCCCTAAGCCAGGACATTTGCCTGTTTTATTTATTCTTTCATGTTTAAAACTTTTTTTTTATTGTATATTTATGTGTGGTGATTCCTTGCTAGAAAGAGAGATTTGGTGGCATTCTATATTTGATCCAAAAAGAAAACAAGGAGATGAGCTAGTGTGTAAAAGTCTGAGAAGTGCATCAAAAAACTAAACTTTACTTCGCCTTCTAGAGCGTTTGTCTGGGCCATATTAAAAATACATATTCAGTACTTCTCTGCAAGGTATGCACATTTTCCCATTATTTGTCTATTTCAAAAATCAACATGTACAGAAAAATACCTTTTTTGTTTCTGCCTGAAATCCGGTGAACTCCTAACTTTCTCCTAATTTATCCACCTTTAGACGATCCCTGAAAAGCGTTCTCTTTAAAGAAGCCTATCCTGCTTCTACCCAGTGAACTGCCATTTATTTCCTCCATCAGCTCATCCCCCACAGCTATTACCTTTTGTATCACTCAACCCTTCCTCCTAGATTGTAAGATCTAACGAGCCGGGCCCTCTGTTTCCTCTTCCACCAAATTGTATTGTAACTGTAATGTCTGCCTTCATTTTGTAAAGCGCTGCGCAAACTGTTGGCGCTATATAAATCCGGTATAATAACTTTCTGTATTGAGCTGCCAATTCTGCCTTTAGCCACACTGAAATCCCAAGCAGTGTTGCCAGCCCTCCGTGAGATCGTCTTTGCTGTACTATAGAACATCTGCCCCCTGTGTCATGGAACTAAGTAGCGGGGGAGGTGTTTTCTACCACAGCAGAAGAGGAGTGGGCAGTGCTGTCAACACTGTTTGGGATTTCAGTGCAGAAGAGGTACTTGTAAACACAAATAGGAAGTTACTGAATTTTTGTCAGATCAACTGGTATTTTCTGTACATGGAACCTTTTTTAAAGGAATAAAACTTGGGGCAGTGTGCATATATTGCAGAGAAGTACTAATCTGACCAGACATACATTTTTACCTTTTAGGTCAGAATTGCCGCAATCCACAGGTCCGTATCCTAAATAACTCCAGGAACCTGAAATTCTTTAGGTCATCTTACTGAATGTTACTCGATCTGTATGTTTTAACATCTTTCTTTTACCCTCAGGATATTTTAGAAGAAATGAGGAAAGAATTAACAAAACTTAAAGAGGAACTTATTGATGGTGAGTATAGTTGAATTTGAACGTTTGTATCATTTGTTCTTGGCAATAAAGTAGCTTGAAAATCTGAAAATTATTATGGCAGCCAAAAAGCCAAAGTGTAACAAAAGTCCCCTTTTGTTATAAACTGTTATTACCTGTTAATCCTGCCAGTGCATCTGTTATTTTTTCTCTTCAGTGACAATACTTTCTGACAATACATTCTGCAGTGAAATTGTTTAGCAGTATTGTCATCCTGTGACAGGGTAGTCTGAAATGGACTTGTTTTAAAATAATTTTATGTAAGTGAAGTGAATTAAAGCACGGGTTCAGCTACACTTTTTTAAAGCTGAAGCCTAGTTCTAAATTTGTGGATGCAATATAAGGGCCATAACTTGCCTCTAATGATGTGTGTCCTATGTCCTGCTGGCTGCGGTTTATTTTTAAGAATCTTCACTGACGCCAGATACTCCCCACAGCAGTGATCTATTGGCGCTGCAGGGATTATGATCAGCTGCTATGACGCTGAAGCGTCAATGCTGCTCGCCCTCCCCCTCTCTTACAAAATGCAAAGCACTCTGGAAATTCCATTCCATTTGCAGATCAATTTGGGTTTTGGGAAGAATAGTAAAGGTTCTGTGGCTCAACAAGAGAGGAGGAAGAGGAGGTGAGTTGTGCCAATGCTTCAATGCCACAGCCCCCATAGGGAGGCTGGGTGTCTTAGGAATGGACTACGTCCCTGAACCTGTATAGCATCATGTGGCTAACTCGCTTGTTGTGTCACCTACCATAGTGAGAGCCGAACACAGTATCTAGTGCCTGAAGGCAAACCATATAGGCTGGCTCTGCGGTTGTGGGGTCTTGGTACAGTTCCCAACATGTACATCAAGAGTAACCAATCTTGAAGCTGCTAATGCAATACGCAGTAAGATCTTGCTAGACATCTCAGTCAAAGAAGGAAAACTGGTGATGAATTGAAAAAATCTTGTTTGACAGGAGAAGGGATCCATCACATAAGGACAACAGCAAAAAACTAAAGTCTCTTTGGGGGTACTTGGGAGAGGGGAGGGGTGCTAAGCTTTTGCAAGTGTCCAACCACCTGAAGGTAGCTGCCTATAACCCAATGTCTAAGAATTAACCTTGTCCTATACGGTTTAAGTATAACTAAAGGCAAAGCCTTTGTTTTAGTTTTGGATATAGTTGAGGTTTTTATTGCTATCTGTGTTCACATTAGGGAGATTCAACCTCTCTATTTGTCCTGTGTACTGTTCTTGAAAGTAAAAGAAAATCCAGAATTTTCTGTTCACACCTGAACACAATTCGAGGGGAAAATCTTCCAATGTGGATACTAGTTCTGATGACCCTGGTGCCACCCTGGAATTCTTTCACTTTGGAGGGATTTCTCACTTCCTGTTTTGGCTATGGGACAGGAAGTGAAGGGAAATCTCCCTAAGGAAACAGAGATAGCAAAAAAATAGACTGGGATTATAACCTTCCCTTTCCTTTTTAGTTCTACGAATAACCACCCAGCTGGGTGGAAAAGGAGGGAGGAATCCAAAAGAGGGACTGCTCCATGAGGAAAATAAGATGGGTCAGGTGCAAAGGATTATATGGTGCAGGAAGCCATAGATTACATTCCTGGCCCGACCCAGAAAGCTAATCATAAGTGTTTTACATGCCTTCAAGGCAGAACATAGGGAGAAAGAATAACATTCTCACAGAAGGCAAGAAAAGGAGGGAGCCCCCAGAAGCAGAACATGGAGAGCCAAGGCAGAGCTATTGCTATTGGGGTTAACAGCAACAATAAGATTCTGTTCTTCCAGAGGCCCTTATAAATCAGTAACTATAGTATAGTATTTCTTATAGTGACGTAAAGGAGGGAGGGCTCTGCTTGGGAAAGTTCAATCAAAGAAAGCCGCAGAGGGGCACAGAAGGTAGCAACTGCAAAGAAGAGGAGCAAAGTTTCGGGTTTTTTTTTTTTAGTTTTTGTTTTTTTTTTTTATTGTGCACCTTTTAAACGTGACATGCTATGACTGTATATTATGGCACTGTTTATTTCATGTTCTGTGTTTAATTTTTTATTTTTTTTTGTACCTTTTAGCCATCAGGCAAGAGCTGGGCAAGTCAAACAGTGCATAGAGAACGCCAAGCAACTGCTCAACTGGCCTGATTAGAAAAGGACTTCTTTTTTTTTTTTTTTTTTTTTTTCTAAGCTGTTTTAAAGGAAGTCTGAACTCCTGCAACTGGGGAACAGCATATAAAGACCTTTCAGAGACTTCACTTTGGATGTATACGAATTCTCTCCTGGATTTCTGCTTTATTTTTTTTTCCTCCTTTCTCTACGCTTCGAAAGCGATGGGGATAAATTGTCTTAAAGTTGCTAACCAATTATGCAGAAGTTATTTTTCTTTTTTTTTTTTTCCTTCCTGTCCAACGAGCTTGCAGTGCATATCAAAAAGCATCCACATCAAAAAGAAAGAAATCATTGCACACATTTCAGATTTTTAGAACAATGCACAGGTGGAGAGATGGCTGGTCTAAAGAGGGTTCTACAGTTAGGTGTACTGCAAGTGTTAAACTCAGGTTTGTCTTCCTATAATATTTGATATTTCATTTTAAAAAGGCAAAAACAGAGAGAACGTCAGACTCCAGGAACAGTGCAGTCACAACACATGGGTGAATTTTAAATGAGAGCAAAGAGTATTTAAACACCATTTTTTTTATTTTCTATGTATTGTTTTGATACTTTGACAGGGTTGCCTTTTTTTTTTTTTTTTTTTTTTAATATCGCAAAAGCAGATCTCTGGAGGACGTAAAAGCCTTCTCAGATTATTACAATGCTTTACCAAATCCCCTCACCCCTGAAAAGCAATTGTAAACAGAATATGCATCAAGCCAGCACTATGTTATCTTAATTTTTGCATGAGGAGAAAATTGCCAACTTGACAAGGTCTAATGACCTTCTGTTTCATTACAGATGCTGTGCATGCCACATTAGTATAAACTTCAGATAAGCCTTCAATTTTATCCAGTGCTTTTCTCAAATCTTGCAATTTGAGGGTCCTTCCTGTGAAGTTTAAACATTTTAGCAGGCATATTAGGACAACCTCTTCATTGTGACCAATCTAGGCATATTTCAAACCAGCTGTTTTTTTGTTTATCTTGTTTTGATAAGGAGTTTAATAAGGGAGTGACTGAAGGTTGCCATGCCAAGTTAGGATTTATACAGGTTTAAAATATCCTTTTAACAGGCCCCTAGCTTATAAGAAGTTTGGTTTGACCTGCACTGTGAAACTCTTGTGCTGGAAAGGTTCACAGTTCTCCAGTTGGTATAAGGGTGACTTGTTTTGAGATACAGAATTCAGGAGAGACCTTCAAGGTGTAAACTGCGCAGTGGAGACTTTTTGGACTTTTTGGATCAGAATTGTGCCATATTGCCATGGAACCCCCACCGAGAAGGAACAGA